AGCAAATCTAATAGTATTCTTTTATTATTATTTAGAATAGAGTGCAAATGGTAATGTATCAAGTAAAAATCAAAGGAAAAAAAGGAACTCTCTCCTTCACTCATAATTAATATTCCCACTATTTCTGTCTATTTCATTGTGTTCTTTCATTTTTCCATGCTCAACTAAAAAATAAAATCAATGCCTTTCTGTGTAAGTTAATGAAGCATAAATGAGGTGGTCCTACTGTTTAAATTTCTACATTAGCTAGTGTCTGCCAGACAAAGAAGTGGGGATGATGAAATGAGAAAAACATGTAAGCGAATAGTTCTTCTTTGGCAGCACACCACAGCCAATCTTCTGAAAAGACTACTGTGTTTTGGTGATTTAAATTACTGATTTCTCATCTAGTCTACTAATCTCAGCATGCAATAAATAAGGTTCCCGCCTCCTCCATTCTCATGAAAAGGTTCTCACAGAAAACCAGTGATGTCAGTGATGACTGCAGTTACTGCTGCACTGTATTAGTGGCTCCTCTTCCTCTACCATTCCTTCAACACCTAGAAGGCCCAGGGATTTACTGTTGGTAATTACTGTTGGTTCACCACTGTTCTCCCTCTACTGAACTCAAAAGACTACTTAAACACAAAAGACTACAAAGATTTCCCCTGAACTTTAGACTTCTAGACAGATAACCTCACAGACTCATCTTAAATTCAATATGCTAAAAACTAAACATACTATCTCTGGTAACTCTATGCTACTTATAAAATCCATGCCTGCCTTCTCATCTACCATTCATAATTTTTTTCTTAATGCTTAATAAAATAAAATTACCACTTAACATTTATGGAATGCCCATTAAAAAAAGCAGGCATTATTTTAAGCAGCCTATACGCTAATTCACTAGCCATCATAGGTGGATAATAATCTCATTAGATGAATAATATTCTCTGTTTAACACTGAGCAAAGTACTTTGTCTAAGCTAGTAAGTAGAAGAATCAGTAGAAAAACCTACATTTTATACTCTTACCCTCTATAGTTTCTTACTGATACCTACATATGTCCAGGATTGTCCTGGGAATTCAAAGTGAACCTGACAAACAGGGTCCATGTTCTCATGGGTTTTATGTGCTGTATGTGAGAAAAATAACCAAAAAAGCATATTATAATAACTTTAAAAGATTGGGAAGAAAAATATGTTTTTATGATAGAAAGTAAGACAGGTGAACCAATGATGTTGAAAGGCTTCCCTGAAAAGTGACTTTTAAGGTGTTATTTTCACAAGTAATTTCATAACAAGATTCAAGAAGGTGCCAACTCAAGGGTACAACCAAAAGGCTACTGCTTTGTGAAGAAGCACAAAGATAGTGCTATGAGCTGAACTGTGTTCCTCTAAAATTCCAGTGCTGAATTCCTAATCTCCAATGTGACTGTATTTGAAATAGGTCATAAAGGATGGGGCCCTAATTTGATATGACTGGAATTTCCCATGAGGAGAGGAAGAGACACCATACCCAAGTCTGTCTCTCTCTTGATCCATACACAAACATACACACACAGGAAAGGGCATATAAGGAAATGGTGAGAATATGGCTGTCTACGAGCCAGGAAAATATGCCTTATTAGAAACCAACCCCACTGGCACCCTGACTTCTACCTTTCAGAACTGTGAGAAAATAAATTTCTATTGTTTAAGCCACAGTGGTATTTTGTTATGGCAGCCCAAGCAGACATAAGCAGGCATGAAAGACCTAGGTACTTTGCAGGTACTGACAAAAATCAATATGCTGTGATATAAAAAACAATGATGATAATATGATATCAAAGACTCTTAAGGCCACAGAGGGTACATGAACCCAAAATAAGGTGAAAAATAGTTCTTGAAAACAGTCCTCAGAAAAACAGTCCTTGAGACAGATGTTTGAGTTGGTTGATAAATGGATTTGAAAATACATGCTGTGGGCTTTTCCTCAGTGACTACAAGTTGCTAACATACAGTTAAGTATGCCATTATAATCACCTTGGAATCACAAATCAGTCCTACACAACCAAGAACTGCACTCTTCCCAAAATATTAACAGTGTCCTACTGAGAAACGAAGGCTAAGAAATTTGTTTATTCAGGGGACTACAGAAAAACTAAGATTTGAAACTTTTTAAAAACTTCTTACACCACTGTGGATGATTCTGACCTAATTTTGATGAATTAATAATATATATTGTGCCTAAATGTAGGGAATGGCATGAGATAATGTAGAATATGTACAAATGAAACAGACACCAATTCCAGGTGTAAGAACAATAGTAAGAGGATATGATACAATATTGTACCTTATTAAATTAAGCTACAGTACTCTCCATGATAAGAATCATCATTTTATGTACCACTGTGATAGGAATAACAATAAGCAAAGTATGACACCAATTTTACAATATATCTTACTTTCAGTGTTGTTGATTTGTGAAAAAAATAGGTAATAGAGATATATAGTGAAAAATATGAAAATAAATAGCTAAAATGCAAACAGATGGAGAAGTTACATTCAATAATATTGCATGTCTCTACCTGTTTTCATGAGAAACCACTCTGAAGATATCAATATGTAATACAACAAGCATTGTTAATTTCCTACAACTTTGTTTGTAACTCTGTATTGTCTGTAATGTTCTTTTGCTATTTTGTAAAAGGTTGTCTGTCTGTTAATGTTTTCCTCCTTTTATTTTTAAAATAAAAAAAAGTAATGCATTTTAAGTAAAAAAGTTTATATAAGAGATAAAATATATCCAGGTCTGATAATAACTTCATACAGAAGATAATACTCATGCTGACTTTTTAAATTATTTTTATGTGTACATGCTTGCAGTATATGAGGGTTTTTTGTTTTTTGTGTGTGGTACCAGGGATTGAACTCATGACCTTGTGTTTGCCAGGTAGGTGCTGTGCCACTGAGCTATATTCCCAGCCCCTACAATAAGTTTTGAAGGATGCATAGAAATCAGGTGCAGAGATTGAGCACAGGAATATTTTCAGAAAGAGCGAACTGGAGAAGTAAAGAAAAGCAATAGTAAAATAAAAGATTGCTAGGAAGAAATATTTACAGAGAAAAAAGAATGACCACAGTTAGGAGAATCCTGAATGCAAGGAGGCTAAACAGGCTGAAATTGAGCATAGGCTTTTAAGGAATGGTACTCAAATACTTTTTTTCAACCCAGTGCTACTTTTTAGGGCTGCATCAAAAACATGGCTCACTCTATTAGTAATTCTTAACTATGAGATAAGGGAAAGGAGCAGAAGAGATTAACTTCTTTGTGAGTATAGTTTGAAAAGTCCTACAAAAACCCTTACTGCTACTCCACCCACCGTGCGAATCACTGCACTCAGAAAGCCCTAGAAAAATTTAGGTAGCCAGTTGACCTGGGTTACATTTCAGAAAAGGTAGTTCAGTCTTATTAGGTAAAAATGAATGAGAATTAGAATCAAGACTGAAAATCTAGATATGAAGCTGACCTTCCAAGTAACAAGTTGAAATAAATTTTGTATCTGATTAACACAGTGGGGAAAATGTGCAGAAGTATTTATAAGAAAAAGAAAAAATAATGAAGTTTACAACATAGATGATAAGTGAACAATTGCATTCTAAAACGTTGGTGAGTATTCAGGTGATGTCAAAAGAGCATTCAAGATTATAAAGAGTAAGAAAGTTAAAGTCTGTTAAATGACATGAATATCACAAAAAAGAGGACTTAAAACTATAATTTGGACAAACTTTTAAAAACAAGACAAAAAAAGGTAAAGGTAAAAGATAAATTTCCAAAATGAATATGTAAAAAGGATTTAATTGCTTTATTACATGTATTTTATCATATCTTACAATAATCTTATATCGATTCCTTATCATAAAATTTTAACATTATAAATTTTCAAACCAAACTTACTTTAGAATCATAAAAAGTAACACAAAAAACAGTATTTCATTAATTTCCAACTTCTTACTTACGTGTGTTTGCAGCTGTAAATTTAGTAAGAAACAATATTCCACACCCTTGAAAACAGTGCCTGAGAGCTCCCATGAGGGTATGATATAATTACGGGGAAAATATTTTGATTTCTAAATGAGTTTATAAACTTCCAGTTATCTAGCTTGATCTACTGTATTTATATCATAACATCAAACCATTTTCTCCTTAAAAATATTTCTTGAAGATACTATATTTAAAATCATTCTTTTAAAGTCAGGTAATCTTTTAAGTATGTTTAAAGCACAAAGGCAACGTTATCCTGAACATGAGAAAATATTTTTTCTTCTTTCTTTGAATAAGAAAGAAAAAAAAATACAATTCTCTTAACACTTAAATGTGCTATAAACACACCAAATAGTTTTAATTCATTCATTTTGATCATAATATTTTCTGTTTTGTTTTGTTTTGTTTTTTTTCTGGTACCAGGAACCGAACTCACGACCTTGCGCTTGCCAGGCAGGCGCTTTGCTGCTGAGCTAAATCCCCAGCCCCGATCATAATATTTTCTGATAAAATTCCCTCAAGAGTGGTACAGTGTGGGTTGGAAGAAAGAAAAGAAGAAAGGAAAGAAGAAATGGAAAGAGAATAAGAGAAATCAATAAAATTAAAAGGGAGACAAGCAGAAAGGGGGTATGGCAGAACTAGTAACAGTATAAGGATGATGAAGGTCACAGACTATTTGTCTAAATGCACAGGTATTTTTTTCTCAAAATACATAGAAGTCAAAGTAAGAAGAAGACAACTATATGTTAGTCAAAGCAAAGAGCACACAAGCTCCAATCTGTCTAAATGATTAAACTGAGAAGACAGATATCAAAACAGCATGCTAATAGCTTGTTAAAGCATTTCTTCAGCTACTATTATATGACTGCTATTTTATAAACAAATTCTCTCAAAGGAAAAATGATCAAGTAATTTTGTAAAAATACATGTCCTAGAATAACACTGTAGTTAAATTTACATATTGCAAGAAAAAAAAACTTTTAAATGTGAAATACCTCAGTCTGACCTTCGTGGGCACTGGTCTCATGAGTAACTCGGATAGCCTGTAAAAGAATATAGGGTATTCATAGCAAAAAATGACCATATCCAACTTTTTAAATGAAAATAACAAAAAAGCTAAATTTTAACACTGAAGACTTATAAATAACAACATGGAGTAAATTTAGGAATAACTTAATCCTAGATATAGAAGAATGATACCTATATAACCAAATGAACTGCTGTACTTTCTAAGCTAAAAATCTCTGAAGACTGGGAAATACCTATTTGTAAAGTCCATGATATAAGTAGAGGTCACGTAATTTATTTAGTCATTAGAACTAACACTTACCACTTTATTCACTTGAGAGTAGAATAAAGTGAGCATCTCACAGATAATCTGAGAAGCCCATCTCATCTGTTTCTCTAAGTTCCATGCTGCTCTGCAGCTCTGGCTGTATTTATGCTTATTCATGCATTTTGAAATGTGAAGCAAAAAGCACGCATATATCAGAAGCTAGAGAATTTTTGGTTCTTGAAAATAAAAAAAAAGCTCTTCTACTACCCACTAGAGCACAAATGCACAGATGGGTATAACTGTATATTACAGGTAAAAGTACATTTATGAATGACTATTTGGCAATAAGTATTCAAAGCTTTAAAAACATGCAAATTGTTTGATCCAGCAATTTCTCTGCTAGTTTATATATTTTAATTGTGCATAATTATACATAATTAAGGATATTTACAAAGATTTAGTTAATGATGTACATTGCTGTATTTTTTAAATAGTGAAAAATGGAAAAGTATTACATTTCTAACTATTTTATTGGCTGAATAAAATAGTATATAATGGAAAGCCTGCAGCCTTTAAATGATAATGTCAAATATATACACACTGGTATCTAATTAATATGTTTGTAATAAGTGAAAAAAGCAAGCTATAAAACAGTATTACAGTGTGATCAAATTTTTATTTAAAAATATTGTGCATAGACATACATAGCTTATAAAGTATTAATGGTAACTATCTCCTCATTGGGATTACTGGTAACTTCCATATTGCCTTTTTTTTTTTTACATAGAAGAAAGATGTTTCATGAAATTTCCAGTTTTTAATTCAAAATGATCAAAGTATACTGGAATGCTAAACAACATGATCATTTAATTTACTAGGCACAAATTCTGCATAAGGCATTGTTTTATCCAAGTAATTTGCACATGGACTGTAATGTCAAAGAATTTATAATTTATATAATAATGTTAACAAAAGGCAGAAAGTCTTCTAAAGAAGAATCTTTTTTTTTTTTTTTGAGACAGGGTCTTGCTGTGTAGTCCAGGCCACATTTGAACTCACTATGGAGCCTAGGTTGGCCTCAAACTCACAGTGATCCTCCTGCCTCAGCCTTTCCAGTGCTGGTACTATAGGCGTGTACTATCATGCCTGGCAAAGAATCAATTTTTAAGACAGTAAATTTTAAAAAATATTTTAAAACAGCTCAATAAAGTGATTTAAAACTAAATTACATTTAAAACTAAATTACATACACTGGCTTTACTGCTGAAATACAGTATGATTTAATGTTACGTTTCACCCTTTGTTTTTCTGGATTTTTTTCTTTCATTTTTAGTCTTTTTCCAAATTCTCAGTGAAAGGCACACAGGATACTGCCAGGCATATATTTATGCTAGGGAGTGACTGGTAAGGAATAGTCTGTCATAACATATTTTCTTAATTTGCAAGCTTTTTATTAGCTCACTCAGCTTTGGACATAGAAAAGCAGCAGCAATTTGTCAACATTTACAGATACTTCAGTTAACTGAAAGGTAGAAAATATCTTTCTTATCTGATATGGTAAAATCTGTAATTTCACAAAGCCGCAGTTTCAAGAAACCTTCCCTGCCCAAAGACCCTACAATCCACAAAACTTTCCTCGCAATTAGATTAAAAAAAAAAAAAGAAGGTACCGACGTCATAGTTCTCCAGGTATCTGGCTCGTTCTTCAGGGCTCATTGACACAGACTCCTCCAGGAATTTTTTCAAGGTTGATCCAGATTCTGAGAATATCAAAATAGATATAATTGGAAAGGCTTGCTATCACAGAGACTGATAAACAAAAATAATAGAAGTATGCTGACTATTTTCTGGGGAAAATCCTATCACTGGTAAGTTATGAAAAACTATAAAAAGTTATAAAAATCTTGATATGAATGATGGAGCTTAAATTACATGTTCATTTTGTAAGCCTTGTTTATCAACCATAAACAAACATGGGAAGGATCAGTTATGCATTCTTATTTCAAACTTAGCAACTTAGTGAGACCCTGTTTTAAAATGAAATATAAAGCCTATGACCATACCACCCTGAACCCACCTGATCTTGTCTAAAATAAAACAGAAGAACAGGGCTGGGAATGTAGCTCAGTATGGAGGCAGATTACAAAATAAACATGGTGGGAAATGCTAGAGCACCCTCTGCTGCTCAATGAAGTTAATGTATGTCAAGGGGAAAAAAACAACAGTATGAACCATTTACCAAAGTGCATTTTGTCTTTATTGTTCGCAATAGCATGGATCAGTCCAATTGTTCCACAGGCATTGCTGATAGTTTGCTTCATGAAGTACACTGATGATGTAACATCCTGTCCCTGAGATTTTATTTTTTCTTCCTCTTCTGTTCTGAATACTTCATACTATTTTTTAAAAAAGTCAATAGTTTATACATGATACAGGTACACAAGACATACAAAACAGCATATTAAAAAGGACTCAAAGCCAGAAATGGTAGCACACATCTGCAATCTCAGCAGCTAGGGAAGATATTATAATGAACACATTTGAAATACTGTAACTGACTTCACTGAAAGAGTACTGAAAAATCTGTGACAGTTCCTTGGTTATTAGTATGTTTAAGCCATCAACAACTCCACATTTAACTTCAAAATTAGAACTTATAAATGAGTATAAATATATGTATAGATTTTTATGCTTACATATAATATAAACCTTTTACTTACGTAGGTGTAAGTACCTACACATAAATACTTTAGAATTGTATACTGGCTAGCAATAAGGCAACAGGTTTTTTTTAGTTTTGATGGTTTAGGATTAAAAGAATTCCTACTGATACAGATTATATGCTTTTAAAAATGCTGATAACTCACTAAATGAAGACATAAAATCTAATTTTTTAACCAAAAAAAGTAAGCCATGTTGGACACAGTGATACATGCCTGTAATCCCAGTCACTTGAGAATTGAGGTAAGAGGATCACATGTTCAAGTCCAGCCTGATATGCTGCCCCCACCTCCACCCCTACATGTTGGAGATGTAGCTTAGAAAAATCACTAGACTGAAAAATTTCCAATTCAGATAACAGATCATGTTGCACACATATCACGTCAGGTAAGAAAGCTTAAGCTATAAGCAACTGATTTTTTTTCTTTCAAGTATTTACTACTCTTTATCATTGGAATCCAGGGATAGTTACCCACTGGCTTCTTGTCATAATTAAAAAGGTGAGAAAATAACATTGAAACAAGAGCACACTTAAGTTTTTGTCTTAATCACAGCTTCACCATTAAAGGAGTTTGGTCTAATGCTAAATCATTATTAAGAAAATCTAAATTTCTATGAATATTATATATCATTTCTTTTTTTGTTTCTTAGAACCCTTAAATTGAAGAGAAAAATTTTCAGTGTTATTTACCTTGAAGTTAGGTTAATTAGTTTATGGCACAAAGAAAATGATCCTGGAATTTCTAGGACTGACCAAGCTTAATTCTTAGTTTCTGTGAGATTCAGTTCCATTTACTCCAGAAGAATAAGACTAGTTGAACATGCAACATCAAGTCATCAGTACCTCATTTCTCCCACATCTTCCCAAGCATTTATTGTCCAGTTTTTACAAACACTGAGCTTGTATTATTGTTTCTAAGTTTAAAAATAAAAATCAGAAGGAGACTCTAAAGCAGTTTAAAAATGCACCTTACAGTCCCCACTCTTTTACACACATGCATACCTACAGGCAAACACAATAATTCTAGAAGAAAGGACTGAAATACCAAGTTGGATTTCAATACATGCATCTATTTATAATTCCCAATATATCCTAAATCTGCTGATCTGTATTTAAGTTTCATGATGCCTACTGAAATCATGCTTATTTTGAAAATAATGTAACCCATGGCATCACTTTCCCTGCCTTCTTAAAATAAAAAGCAAATTTTTATGAATATATCTTTTATTTTTTTTATAAATATATTTTATAGTATACATTGTTTTGAAAACTTTAACATTTTTATTGATATAAATATATATAATGCAGATTTAAGATTATTCTAATACTTACAATTTCCAAAGTATATATATCAAAATATAATTAAATATCATATCATAACACAGGCAAAATAACCTGTTTGTTTTGAGCTGCTGGGGATCAGACCCAGGAGCTTAGACATGCTAGGCAAGCATCTTACAATTGAGTTATTATCTCCAGCCCAAACTAACTATGCTTTATTAAAAAAGAAATGATCTGAGGTTAGAAGAGTAATCTATGGCTTTACTGTCAATTTATAAATAAAAATTTAAATATCATTTCTTTAATAAAAATTAACATTTCCTCAGTTCCTAGATTGCCTGATTTTATAAAATAAGGGTATTACCTGTTCTTAAAGACTGTGTTTTTAACTGAACAATAACAACAAACTTTATCAGAAAAGTTAAATTTTACTTAATTACCTTTTCGGTAATAGGGAAGAGAAGTAACACTGCACAGACTGGTCTTGGTACCATGCTAAGGAGTTCAGGATCCATTCCATATACATCAACAAATTGCCAGTTAGGATGTAGACCTAACTGTTTGAGAAACTGGTAAAAGGAAAAAACCAACAAAAACAAAAATTACAGTGTTAACAGGAAAATGACTAATATGTATGTATTCTTGTTTCCAATGTAAAAAAAAGAATGTAATAAAAATATTACTGATGTTCAATAGTATGCAGTAAAGCAGTATATAGCAAAACATCAGGAATATAACACATATGTGTAATCTTTGTCAGTAATACCATGATAAATCAGGGGTTTGGAGGAGACACAGTAAAGCTGCTTTTCCACAAGTAGAGTAGAAAGAGACAGCAATTTGCTTATGTCACATAAACACTTAAAACTTCTAAAATATAAAATAAATCCCCTCTTTTCAAAATCTGATACTTTGGGGTTGGATGTAATTTGACTTCAGCACATACAAGTTAGCTAGGCTATGTTAAATTCATGTTGAACTCACTTCTAGTCCTTAATTTTTAAGAAACTGCATCTAAATTCTTGTAAATAAGGAATTATTTTAATGCAATAGAAGATGAACACAATCTATTGTTGTTCCAAAAAAATAGTGTTTGCTTAAAAACAGATACATATGGCAGCTAAGAATTACATGCATGAAAAAAGGGTAATACAACCAATAGCGAGAAAAAATAATCCCAGTGACCTGATTGGAAGTAAACAACTGGCCCTAAATCTATTCAAGTTCAATGCCTTCCTTACATCTGGCAAAACAACTGGTATTTACAGGTCTAGAATTAACTAAAATTTTTAAAGTAAAATTTTAAAAATGCTGGGCTCCGGGGAGGCAATAGGGGCTGTGCACAATTTTAATCCTTGCTACTCTGAGAACTGAGGCAGGAAGATCACAAGTTCCAGGCCAGCCTGGGCAACTTAGCAATACCTCGTTTCAAAATAAACAAAAAAAAGCTGTGATGTAGCTCAGTGCTTTCTGGGTTTAGTCCTCATTACCACCCTCCACCAAAAAGTCTTGGGCATTTCTCCCAGAATGATCAAATGCATTTTTTTTTTTTGTACCGGGAATCAAACTCAAGACCTGGAGCTTGCTAGGCAGGTACTTGTGCCACTGAGCTATATCCCCAGCCCTCAAATACATTTAGATCATCAAATGAGGTCTTGCAAAACCAGTGGAGCTGATGCCACACACAGTATTATTCATGTCATACTTAATCAGGGTCTACTAGGCAAGCTCTGCCTGTTTAAGGGTTATTCTCCATATTCTTCCATGTTTCTGCCCATTGAAAAGACTGTACTTTAATGGTCAATACTACTGTAATGGTCAATACTCTAAGAATCAAAACAAGGTCCTCGCTATATCGCACCAGAAATGTCCTCAATTTAAGAACCTCTTAGCAGAATGTGCTTAGTATCTACTAGGTTTATATCTATGCCAAGTTACATGGCCTACCACAGTTTCAGGCTATGGCTGTGGAAATCAGTGGACTCTTCTACTTTATATCTATTTTTCATCTGATTCCTATTCATGATTTCAAACTTTAATTAACTACTATTCTTAAATAGTTTCTTTCCTTTCTCTATTTCCTCCAAATTTCTTACTATGTGCTTTCCCCAATATTCAATTCTATGTAGAAACCAAAAGGAATAAAAATTGACACAAAGTCAAAGGAAAGAACTCGTGTTCCTCTTTTTAATCTCACTGCCTAGCACTGTACCTGGCCATACCACAGACATCCAAGTTATATATTTCTTCACTGAACTAAAGAGTATATCCCTATTTTAATAGATAACCAGCCATTTATATGTCTACATGTCAATTAGGTCTATGCTCATGATGAACATTTCACATATATAAATATAAATATTTCTTTTTGTACCAATTAAAGAGGTAGGAAAGATACACTTGGCTGCTAACCTAACATCTGGCATTTATTTAATCAACTCTGAACTACCTGCCTAGGACTAATGGCTTTAAATGGTATAATTAGGGACAAATACCCTAAACCTTGACTAGAGATTTAAATTTGTTAATTTTATGTACCCACAAACTCATACTACTATAAAGTTATACAACAAGATGGTACAAATGGTAGCGTAATTCCACATTTGTGTTGCAAACTAAAATAAACATTTTAGTGAAAAAGCAACTGGAACAAAAACTCATACATTATTACACAGGGACTCCCTTGTAAACCTACTCTATGTTGGCCAAGGCTAACAAGTATAAGTAGCAGGATCCATAGTCCTCTGCTCTACCATCTGCGCTACAAAGGGTGCACAAGTATCAAGATCCAAAGGCAAAGACTGCAGTGAGACTAAAATATCAAACTAAAGACACAAAGAATGACTACATACCAATTAAATTAAATCATAAAATGATGACATTTTAACAAGAATAATACTTTTCTTAACTTTTTATTCCTATCACAAATCACTGAGATCGTTATAAAGAAGCCTGATCAATTAATATCTATTAAGTAAATTAGTTATACTTTCTGGCATATTGCCATGAGTCAAACTTACTGAAGTCATCATACGTATACAAAGAATAAAAGCAATTATTAGGAGTAACTATCTCTGGGAAGTGGAGCACATGAATCTTTTTATTTGCCTCACTAAAAAAAAGTGACTTAAAAAATGTTCTACTTTTACAATTGTGTTTAAAAGATCATATGAAAATCTGAAAAAGGTAAGAAAAAACTTTTCTAAAATGCAAACAGTTAATATATTGGCAATGTGAACCCAATTTTTCGTTTTCTAATATTTTAAAAATGATTATATGTACAATAGCTGTGTATAACTTTGAAGTTATAAAACAAAACTGATACATATGTATTTTTATTTGTATTGACAAAACTTGGAAAAAACCCAAAATGAATTTTTTCATAGTCTTAAACCTGTACAGTACTTGCAATATTTTAGATTAGTCACTAAAATATTATATATGGGTAATTCTTTTGTAGAGATTGTATACCATCAGAAGCACCCTGTTTATATGAAACAAGAAAAAGACTTAAAATTTTCAAAAAAAAAAAAAAAGACTTAGAATTTTTAATACCAGTCTTCTGGCTTTTCTAGTTTAAATACTAGGTAATAAAGTACAGTAACCAAAACATACTGATTAGCTCACTAAATTTCATAACACCTCTAAAATTTTGGCCAGTGGAGAAACATCACTTATAAATAATATGTGGCCATAAAAGAATTTTTAATAAACTTTTTAAAACCTATGATTCTAAAAGGGTCTATATCTATCAATTCCTTCTAAGCTTTCTTACATACAAACTAGACTTCACCATGCAAAAAATTCTTAGTTCCTACCTTTAACTTACAATAAATTCCTCATTTTTTAGGTTAAATTCAAATAACAAAACTTTAAAAAAAAGAAAAATACAAAACTAATTTTCCTTTCAAATTTTTTCTAAAGCCAGTTTCTCTGGTCTTTTTGTGTTTTTCTTCTTTTTTTTCTTCTCTTTTCTTTTGGTGCTAGGGATTGAACCCAGCTAAGCATACATTCTACCACTGAGCCACCTCTCCCCTCCAGCTCCTCTCTGGTCTTTAAAGGTCTGCTCAGGGCAGTCATAGATCCTATTTTCTTATTAATTTATTATTTGAATTATGACAGATATTATATTCATCTAATTGTTTTACATTACTATCAGAAGAGTACACTAGTACTAATTGCTAGATATAGAAACAATAAAAATTAAATGAGGAATTGCAACTTGTAAACTAGCAAAAATGAATTCTAATAGATTGAGTAAAAACTAACAAAAATAAAATTATTTGAATCTAGACTGGGGAAACTAAGTCTTTTATGTGTGGATTAAGAAAAGAGATTTACTTCAATGCAGGCTCAATATGGACTGATGACAAATTATATCCACAAAGGCGATGCTATGTAACTCTAAAAGAAGAATCATTCAAGATAATGTAGTACCATCCCACTGGACCCAACAAAAATGATTCAGGATGGATTAAGGTATCAGCTCTGGATGGCATTATTTTATAAAGGCCAGTGACAAAGAAGTGAGGGCACCAAGCACAGTGAACAGAACTGATGAGGTTTTGGAAGACACAGAGCTAAAGATTATGGGCATGTTCAAAGACTTTACTTATTGTGATCCCTCCTGGCCCCAGATATTTTAGTAATATTGAAGTAGAACAATGAGAGTTACTCTGTATGTTTTTAATGAAAGGACTGACAAACAACTGGAAGAAGTTATGAGAAAACAAACTTTGTTTCAGTAAAAAGAAATTTGTCTATAAATTACTCTATTGTAATTTTAAAAAACCACCTTTGAAGATAGTATACTCCTCACCAAAATATTTAGGTAAAAGATTAATGACCACATTAAGGGTAATCCTGGGAAAGATTTTCTGGAGCAGAAAGGCAGCAGTATAAGATATATTCATTCTTTAAAAACTATTAGCTGAGAGGCCCATATAATGCAGGCACCATTCTTGATACTTTAGACATGTCCCTATTCTCACAGAATTTACATTCCAGTGATACACAAGACAAAAAAGTGAACACATAAACAAACAAGATCATTTCACAAGGTAAGAAATATTATAAAGAAAATAAGATATGGTGATGTAGAGATTTAAGGGGACACTTTAGCTGTGTCATCAAAGGAAGACTCACTGAGGAGGTGACTTGAAGTTGAGCCATAGATGACACAAAAGCAGCAGCCAAGAAGCTACCTGGAGTAGAATGATTCAAAGGGTAAGTAAATACAGACTCTGAAGCAGGAATAGGCTTGGCATTCAAGAATGCAACGCTGCACTAGGAGAAATGAGCAATACACTTCATCTGACCACAGTAAAAAGCTTGTACTGTTCTCTAAGAACAAGGAGTGGAGGAACATTGGAGTGTCTTAAACAGGGAATCACAAGATGTGACTTGTGTAAGACTATTTTGGGCACATATAGAGAACAGGTTTTATGCAGGCTGAGAGAGAAGCAAAACTAGCGAGAAAATTACTGCCATTGTCCAAACTAAGGGTGATAGTGGCTTGAACTATGGTAGCTGAAATAACAAGTATGGCCAGAAGTAGGGCTTATTATGA